CCCCGAACCCGCCCCAACTCTCGACCCCATCGTCCCACAAAGCCCCGCACAGGAAGAAAAAGTCGAATCCTTCGTCGAGAAGCGCGAAGCCGAGACAGCGGCGGACGAGGCAAAGGTCGAGGAAGCCGAGCCCAAAGGTGAACCCAGCGTCGTCCAACTCTCCGAAATGGCCGAGGAGAAAATCGAGGAAAGCACCACCGTGCCGGAGGAAGTCAAGGAAGCCACCAAGGAGCCGACACCACAGGAGGTTACTCCGGTGATTGGTGAGGCTACGATCCCACCTGCTGCTGCTGAGGAGGTGGCGAAGGAAGCTACACCACCACCTGCACCACCGGTTAAGGAGGCTTCCCCACCTCCGGCTCCTGCTCCTGCGCCAGTGACGGAAGTTGCGCCGGCTGTGGAGGCGGAGCAGACTGCTAGGGAAGCAACTCCAACTCCACCCACCGCCCCAGCCTCCGTCGAACCAGCACCAGCTCCAACCACGCCAGCAGCTGAACCACTCGAAGCACCAACTGAGGTACCAGCGCCCGTCATCCCTGAAACTTCCGCCCCACCCGCATCCGAAGCTCCCGTTGTGCCTCAAGAGACACCATCCGTCCCAGCGCCGACGGTGGTTGCTTCATCCTCGCCAAAGCCGGAAATCACGGAGCCCGCCCCAGTTGCGGCCCCGGTGGTGCCTGAGATCGTACCGGAGGTTAAACCTGCTGAGGAGAAGGGGGAGGAAAAGGTAGACCTGGGAGGAGAGGGTGGGGAGCCGATGGAAATGTAGGGCGTTGATGGGCGTCTTGAGTTTGGGGAGTGGTGGTTCGGTTAGGGGGTGTGGGAAAGGGGAAGGGGGCGGGTGTGGATATTTATGGATATGGTAGTGTTATCGTGAGGGTGAGAGGAGGAGAAGAGGATATGGGAGGGGGTTGATATTGATTAGTGATGGGGATGGGGGATGGATAAAAGCACGGTATTCTTATGGATCGTGTCGTACTGGTGGCGGATAGTATTTGTTATTGTTATTGGTTTAGGTCTTTCGTTTCTTGTTTCGGATCGTCGCTGTTATGGGAATAGGAATTTAAGGTTATTTCTACTCGTGTTGGAGTTCCTGGGTAGTGTGACCTGGTTGTTGTCGTGTCCGTTCTGCGTTCTGCCTTGCTGCTATGGACTGGTTCTTCCCCGTGCTGAAAGATTCGACTGGGTTATTCTGCACGTTTCAGTGTTTGTTTGAGTGAAGTGCTGCTCGTGCGGAGGTACTGCAGTGTATTCTCGTGCTTTGCTGTTTGGAAGGGATAGGTCTACTCGTGTTCAGTAGGGAGGGGTTATGGGCATAGGAATTTGTGGTTATTTCTACTCGTGTTGGTTTTCTGAAAAGTGACCTGGTTGTTCTCGTTTGCGTTCTGCGTTCTGCCTTGCTGCTATGGACTAGTCTTCCCCATGTTGCAAAACAGACGCCCGGTGTGTTTTCTTCAAGTTTCTGCACGTATGGGGATTCAGTGGTGTTGGAATCTTCTTCTCGTTTGGAGGTATTCGGGTGCTATTGTATTATCGTGTTTTGCTGTTTGGAAGTGATAGTTCTACTCGTGTTTAGGTTCTCTTCCTCATGTGCATGCAGGTTAGGTGAGGTGAGGTGCTTCTCGTGGAATGGCTTCGAAGGTAAACGATTCTCGTGCATGTCCTGGCTTTCTGCCAGTGGCTGCTATAGAATTGCATCGTCCTGTTGAAGACTTGAAATTCGAGATGTTTCCTTTCTCCTCGTTCTGGCGTTTGCTTGAGCGCAGTGCTCAGGCATTTCGTTTCGAAGCGATCCGTTCCGAAGGACCCTTCCCGTGGCTTGCTGTTTGGGAGGGATCTTTCTACTCGTGTTTTCGTCGTCACACATGTGCAGATTAGATTAGGTGCACTGCTTCTCGTGGAAAACTGGTGCGCATGCGGTAGTGGACGCTTCTTGTACTGTTTTCGTACTGTCATCTTGCAGTTGTGGACTAGTCTTCCCCATGCTGTGAGATTTGACTGGGCTTTTTCTTCCCGTTTCGAAGTTGCTTGTTTGAGTGAAGTGCTTCTCGTTCAAAGCTATCCGTTCCGAAGGACCCTTCCCGTGGCTTGCTGTTCGGAACAGGTCTTTCTACTAGTGTTTTTGTCGTTCACACATGTGCAGGTTAGGTGAAGTGAGGTGATACTCGTGGCACTGACTACGAGGGTGGATGATTCTCGTACAATTTCTTGCTGTCCAACTGTACATCTGCAAGAACGGGGGCCTCTATTGTAGCCCGCAATAGCCAAATGTAGCCCGTGTAGCCAAAATCGCCAAAAGCACCCAACGTTAGCACCCCGCCAGTCGCTTACGGCCTAGTGTGAGCGCCAGTGCGTGGGCAACATTTGGCTCCCCAACGGATTTTGACTTTCTGAGATTTGCCGAAACCCTGGCTCATTCGCAAATGTTGGCGCAACCGAGAAGATGGCGATTCCTGGCGATTTTGGCTACAATGGCTACTTTTGACCACACTGTGGCCAACAATGGACCACACCGT